CTTAGGTACACATGTGCTCAATATTTAAATACTCGAGCAATTAATACGTAAGATTCAACAGTTCGATATTCAACTATCTAACGCCCAACTATTCAACACGTGAGTACTCAACTACTTATCATATGAGTAACTTAATACTCAACTAACTCACCACTTAAGTGTTTAATACTCAACTAGTCAAAATATAAATACTTAATATTCAACCAACTCGACACGTAAGTACTCAATACGTAACTACTCGTTAAGTGAATACTTAGTACACAATTAACTCAACACTTAAGTACTTAGTATTCAACTAGTCAACAGGTAAGTACTAAATACTCAACTACCTAAACACTTAAGTTTTCAAGAATTCATACTCGGATATTCAACACTTAAGTACTGAAATACTCACGTTCTCAACACTTAAGTATTCAATATTCCCTTAATTCTCCGTATTCCATTAACAAACTAAAGCACACTAATTTCAATGATTCCTAGAATACAGAACGAAAGTTTGCTCTCCCAACAAACTACCACTTCAAATGAAACATTCTCGCGATACCCGTTCATTATCCGAAGCACCTCCCAGAACTTCGCAACCGAGCTGTTGGTCACGCCAAAACAACACCCGTGAAGAAACTCACGAGTTAATTAACACAGCAAAATCCTCCGAAGTCACGAAATTCATAAAAGTCAAACAAAAAGAAAAGGAAAGAAGGAAAGAAAAGATCGATCGTATATCCTTTACTTTTCACCGAAAACTTCCACGAAGTGCTAAGATCCCTGTTCTTAGTCGTCAAACGTTTAGCAAGTCCCAGTGAAATTCATGAAAACAAAAGATACATTTGCATAAATGAATCCATAATAAGGATACGTGAAACCTCGTATGTAAAAAAGTGGGAAAAAAACGCTGAAAACCAAGGGAACGGGAATAGAGAACCAGCAGTGTTTTTTTTTTTGTTTTCTTTTAAGATAATTCCTTTCAGCAGATATATTGAATTTTCTCTCGTGACAGTGTTCATAATTATAGTTACAGTCCCTCGAGTATTTCCGTGGTGCCATTTGACTTGGTTCTTGTTGTTCACCGACGCATCTTGTGGGATTCTCATTAGCGGCCCTCAGTTTCTCTGCTCCTGTCTGTTCATCATGGTCAACGCTGTGTTTTGACTGTCAGGTACCATGGTTCTCGACGTTCGTATATCGAAGATCTTCTTCAAAGAGCGCGGAAATTGGTTGTTCAGGCCAGCGTAAATGATGGGGTTATAACAGATGGAGGACTTGGCTAATAAAGCTGGTAAGACGGCTACTGAAGCCGATGGTTTCGCCTGGAAAATAGTACTGTTTGGTTAAAAGTGTATTTTGGATCAGCCCGATTCATTTTTTTGAAGTGATGAAATGAACATTGGCTATTAGAGATTACAAATTGAATTTCTAATCTTTCGTGTAGGAAGTGTACTATTTGTTTCGCCTGGAAAATTGTATTTTTGGTTAGAAGTGTATTTTGGATCAGCCAGATTTATTTCTTTGAAGTGATGAGAAGAACATTGGCTATTAGAGACTAAGAATTGAATTTCTAACCCTTCGTGTAGGAAGTGTACTATTTGTTTCGCCTGGAAAATTGTATTCTGGATCGGTCGGATTTATTTCTTCGAAGTGACAAAGAAAAATACTGGTTGTTAGAGACTGAGAATTGAATTGTTAACCCTACGTAAATTGAATTTTTGATGAAGTGTACTATTGGAGGATACTTTTGAAATGTGAATTTAATAGTCAAGGTTCTTTAACAAGTAAATTAAGTTCTTCGTTTGAGATTTGAGAAATTAATTTCTAAAGGATCTAGCATCTTTGGCTACTAGTTCCATGACGACGACTTAATAACCATCGTCATGGCGATGCACGTGTTAATGGGACTCGCTGGTAGCAGGAAATTATAACAATACTTTCACCGCGCAAATGTAAATCTATTCACGGTGCATAGACGAACGTGGAACAATGCCAGCTTGTGTAGCTTTCTCATTATTAATTATTGATACTTGTAAGAATCAATCGACAGATTTATCAAAGAAATTTCTAATGGGTGAAAGAAAATTTATCGGTAGATTTTTAGAATGATTTTCAACATGCAAATTGTGTTCTAAGTGTACTAAACAGCGTTATATAGAATCTTGCTCAATTTTCATGTGTTTTAATTCGTGAATCGTACGACTTTTAAATTTCTTTTAAAATTATTCCAAAAATATCGATGCAATTCCTAAGTAATTTTATTTAAAACAAGAAGCTACTTCTGCTACCCAGAAAATAAATTAGAAAAGTGAAAATTATATCATTTTTGGCTATCTATGTAAAATTTTATTTTTAAAAATTCGAAAATAATATTATTACAATCTTTGAAGTTTGCCCTAAAAAAATATCAGCAGTAACCCCATTCCATAAATTACAATAAGGGACTCAGGTTCCTCCGTCGTGAAGTGTCTTCTCGAAGAGAACCGATAGCTGTAATAACAGGAAGTCGTCAAATCTATTTCCTACATGAAATCACGCAACTATAAACATTTCGTCGGTATCATCTGTAGTAGAACGTAATAACATTCAACATCCAACATTAGGTATCTTAATGAGCGTTCAAACTGGCGTTCGTTGACGCTCTTATCTTTTATGTAATTACATTCAGTGGAATTCTCTTTTTCTTTATATAGTACCTAATATGGAACACCGCAATATCTCGGCAAATAAGTAACAAAATCAATCGGTAATAGTGTAAGATACTTCATTAAAAACAAAAGACAATCACATTCACATTAGAGCGTTGGTTACAAGTCTGTCGTTAAACGCGAAGTTGATTGTTGTTTGAAAACGTATAAAAGTTTTTGAGAGACGAGTTAAATAGTGAAATTTTTTGGGGAAGGTAAGGTAGAAAAATATTACTTTTGCATGATCTATCATTAAACCTGTTTGTTTTCGAGACTTCAAAAGAAATTCACCGTTAAATTTTTCTTCTTCTTAGTACAATTATCATTTTTCTGTCGAAATACGTATGTACCCAATATGGAACACGTTGAGTGTACGTAATATGGAACATGTTCCATATTAATATTATATAGTATTACATAATTTTATGCTATTATGATTATTATTGTGTATATAATAGATGAAAGTTATAGCACCAAAAATTAAAAGAAAATCTTGGGATAAGTTTCCAGAAAAACGGAAGATATTTCTTTATTTGTCTTTTTTATTTATACAAATATTCATTTTTCATAGTAAACATAAAGTTTTTTGAGATTTCTTTACAAATTTCCTAGGTGTTCCATATTAGGTACCATTTTTTCAACTCACCACGTTTGACTTTCTTTATATTTTTTACCATGACTTCAAGACACTTAAACTTTTGCATAGTTAACTATTAACATACGTGTATCCATTAATTTTGTCGTGTTTTAGCGTTAGTTTCATAAAAAAAGAAGCATGTCTCTATATTTGGCTCGCTTTGAAAGTCAGGTGTTCTATATTAGGTGCAGTTACTCTATAGGTATTGTCCTCTAAATGAAAATCAAGAAAATTAGGAAAGCAAAGGAAAAATTGCTCAAGTTTCAGAGGATTAATCTGGAATCTTGTCGACATCGACTCCGAAATAAAAATAAAGTAAATATTACTCAAGGTTCAAAGGATTAATCTTGAATCTGTTGTTTTAAATATTGACCTCGAAAGGAAAAATTATTTAGGTTTAAGGGTCATGGTGAAGTTCGTTCGTCCGTATGAAGTATTAAACGTGTATCTAGGTGAAACGTGATGCTTACATCGAAATACTGTGCAGCGAGTGCCAGGGCAGCGTACGGTGACCAGGCTAACAGGAAGGCTGTTATCATTAATGCAACCATCTTCGTAATCTTTGCCTCGCGTCTTCCGCTCGCACCTGAATTATAAAATAAAACGGTTTTCCCATGACGACGGAAGCGTGGCTTCCTTGTCGAGTAAGAACTGAGGAGGAAATTATGCAAAAACTGGGAGAAGGAGGATTTTGAGTAAATTAGTAATTGTAAAGAGATTATTACAGGTACTGTTACAGGTACTTTAGGAAGCTTGTGTATTATTGAATTGTAGTTGCTTTATTTTATATATTCAAAGGAATTTGGAAATTTAGTGCATTGTTTAATTGTAATTGCTTTATTTTGTATATTGAAAGGAATTTCGAAATACAGTAAATTCTCCACAAGTGTCAGTCCGCAAGGAACCTAAACCTGACACTTGTAGAGTCAGGGACTACGTTTACGAGCCTTGCGCCCGCCTTTGTAGTTTGCCGAACGTAGACAAGGACAGCGAATAAAAGATAAGGATGAAACGTGAGTCGAGGCAACCAAGCGATTTAAATACCAACTTTTTTAATTTTACAAATTATATCGTGTTTGATTTTATTTTCATCAGAAATATAATTCAATATTCTTTCTTAATATTCTAATCTCGTAAAAGAAACCGAGTGGTGACTGACAGCGAGCGAGATAACAGGCGAAGCAATGACGCAGGCCTAGGCGTAGGACCATCTATACTGACACTTGTAGAATCCAAACTGACTGACACTTGTAGAGAATTTACTGTACAGTAAAAGTTCTATAAAAGCTTTCGGATCTACGCCATGAATGTTCATGGTCTATCCCCACCACAAGGGGGGACCACCCTTGAACCAGGCAAACGACTAATGTGACACGGCCGCGACATCTCTTTATCGCATTCGGCGTCGGCATG